TGTTGATGATTCGTTTGATACCAACGAGAAGACATGCGAAGTATCACTACTGAGGGAATTTTACTTGCACTCAGAATGAAGAAGGACAAGAAGAAGAGGGAGCAGAAGTATCAGTGAACCATGAATCAAACGAATAAATTTCTGTATATTTTTTTCAAACCGCTTGCATCATTTTCAACCCTTGCCAAAATCTTTTATTTTTCGAAAGTTTCAAATTGAACAGAATCACAATAGATCCGTAAAATAGGCCTACCAGGGAAAGCACGTTGAAAACGTGTTAGATACACTACCTCAGAAGACCGGAAATTTAAGGTCATAGAGAAACAGTGATGAAAAGATAATTTTGTTTCATGGACGCGTCTTTTTTCCCCACGGCTGACGTCCTATTCAGAATACTTTAAAATCCTTTTTTATTGAACATCTCCAACATAAAACGAACCTACATACAAAATTTCAGCCTCCGAAAACATAGCGGTACTGAGAAACAGTGAGGAAAAGTTAATTTTCATATGTAAAAGCTTCCCTTTCATAACCAGAGGTGCACTCCAGTTGGAAATTTCAAAAATCTTTCTCATTGCACATCTAAACATAAAACGAACCTACATACAAAATTTCAGCCTCCGAAAACATAGCGGTACTGAGAAACAGTGAGGATAAGTTAATTTTCATATGTAAAAGCTTCCTTTTCATAACCAGGGGGGCACTCCAGTTGAAGATTTCAGAAATATTTTCTCATTGCACATTTAAAACATAAAACGAACCTACATACAAAATTTTAGCCTCCGAAAACATAGCGGTACGGAAAAACAGTGAGGAAAATATAATTTTCATATGTAAATGATTCCCTTTCATAACCAGGGGTGCACTCCAGTTGGAGATTTCAAAAATCTTTTCTCATTGCACATCTAAAACATAAAACAAACCTACATACAAAATTTCAGCCTCCGAAAACATAGCGGTACGGAGAAACATTGATGAGAAGGTAATTTTCATATGTAAAAGCTTCCCTTTCATAACCAGGGGTGCACTCCAGTTGAAGATTTTAAAAATATTTTCTCATTGCACATCTAAAACATAAAACGAACCTACATACAAAATTTCAGCCTCCGAAAACATAGCGGTACGGAGAAACAGTGATGAGAAGGTAATTTTCATATGTAAAAGCTTCCCTTTCATAACCAGGGGTGCACTCCAGTTGAAGATTTCAAAAATATTTTCTCATTGCACATCTAAAACATAAAACGAACCTACATACAAAATTTCAGCCTCCGAAAACATAG